TGTATTTATATTTTTATCTAATACTTTTAACTAAATACTGGTTATTTGATTGTCATGTGTTAGTTACTTTTTTTGAAAAAAAATAAATATGCAAGCTTTTTAAATATTTTATTTTTTGAAAAAAAATCTAATTATAAATAAAAAGTCTTTGCATACTTTAATTAAATATTGAGAATTAGTTAGGTCAATAAATATATAAAATAAATTGTTAATATGTTTATTTCATTCACCTAATTACAGGTCAAATAATTTTTTCTAATGCAAAAGAATTAATATGTAGTTGTTATTAATATATTTTGTTTTTGTATTGAGTAAAAATATATAATCATGAATCACAAAATTGATGTTTACATATATAAAATTTAATAAAAATCATATATATTAAAAAAAATATATATATATAAGATTTCAAGGTAATCTTTAATATATCTGAAAAGAGAAATTGTTGCAATTGTTACTGTTGAACAATATAGTTTTCCTATTCTGTGTAGAATAATTTTTCAGAAAGCAAAACATGTAAAGAAAAAAATTATAAAAGACTAATGATAAGCAAAAAAAAGCAATAGATAGGCAAAGTGTAAAGAATAAACAATAATATTTTTTTTTAAAAAAAAAGTTTAAAGAAAAAAAATAAAAATACATTGTAAAAAAAAATAAAAAAATAGTGATAAATAGATCAAGAGTAAAATGAAAAAAAAAACACCAAGTATAAATAGAAAAAAATTCAAGAAAAACTTGTTTTTAAATAAAATTAAATAAATAAAATAAAAACAAAAATTTACAATTATATCACCCCTACCATAACACTATATTAACACCACTTACTATAATATCTAAAAAAATCAAAATCCCTAACATAATTACAGAATCATCATCTTTTTTGTGAAATGGTGTTTTCTTTTAGTTTATTACTAGATGATTAACGTGTGTTATACTACGAGTCAAGTTAATTTTTTCTAGAATGTAAAAAAAATATTCAAATATTCCTAATAAATTTTTCCTAGTAGAAAAAAACTAAATCATGTGAGGGTTTACCCGATACAACCTGGTTGACTTACTAGTCTTAAAACAACTCATACAACCTATGAAAATAAATTTTGACTAAACAAAATTTAAAGATAATATTTTTTTAATATTGAAATAACAATATATCTGATTGACCTTAGACAACTTAGGTTAACGTGTCAAATTTATGATCCAGGTTATGAGATTATGATAACCCCATGAAAAGTAAATCAAAATAAATTATTAAGTCTAATTCTCAATTAATTCAATATTAAAAGATGAAATTAAAAATAACATTGGTTAATATATCAAACTTGCAACCCAGTTCATAAGACTGAGATAATTCCATAAATAGAAAATAACAATAATTAACAAATTTCAATCCTTAACCAGCTCGATATTGATGGATGATGTCATAACCCAATTTTGGGTTATGACCCAAAATTTATTTATTTTTCAAAATAAAAATAAAAAAATAAAATAAAGACTGACAACATAAAGAAAACAAGTTGGAAAATCAAGCTATAATTTTGAAGGAAATTCAAAACCTAATTATACCCGCATTATACCAAAAAATGGAGAAAAACAATGCAAATTCAAGATTAAATTAAAATATTATTAGATGAATTTGCATAAAAATTAAATTCAAAGAAATAAATAAATTTTTAATTGGCCAATTTGATTTAATCATGTGCCAAATTAAATTTTAATTATAGTTAAGAATTAATTTGGGTTCAATTGAAGAATTTAATTAAATGCAAATAGTTAATTATACTTTAAATGGGTCAAATTAATTTTATTAAGGGTGTAATTAGTGAAAAATTAAGTTTGAGCTTAATTAAGAAAATTGAAATTTTAAGAGATCAAATTTAATTTTTACCAAGTTAATTGATTGAAACAAGGGTATAATTGCAAGAAAAGTGAAGTTTTAGGGTCAATTAGATATTAAATTGAAAAGTTTCACAGCCAATGACCAAACAGCAAAGATACCAAACTATAGGAGCTTAATTGATTAAAACCGGGGAATGAAATTGAAGAAATTAAAAGTTTAATGGTCAATTAGGGCAAAATTATATACATCCGAACCTAGGGACTAAATTGAAAATAGCGTGTATATATAAGGCTGATGTTGAAGGTCGTCTCCTTCGCCTTGCTCTTCCCCTCCCACTCCGCGCCTGTAAAATTGGTCGCTAAATGCAGAACTTTATATTCTGCATACAGAAGGCTTACTAATTAACCTGGTTCCTAGGCCAAGCTAGCGAACATACGGGCCTAAGCCGAATCCTTTGTTCGGCCGATATTGACCAAACCTAACTTGGCTCGGCTTAGCCTAGTTGGGCAAGCTTTTCACACATGCACAGATATATATATATATATATATAAAATGTGATTTTTTCACATATTTTTCTACTAATTTTACTTAGGTCATGTTTGTTTTCCGGAAAACAGTTTTTAGGAAACCACTTTCCAAACTTTCCTGTGTTTGTTTGTCATTAAGAAAGTTGGTCAACGGAAAACACTTTCTGGTCAACGAAAATATTTTTTAGTCAAAAAAATTTTTTTGCTTAATTTTCAGAAAGTGTTTTCCTTTTTAGCTGTGTTTGTTTTCTGGAAAGTGGTTTTCGGGAAAACACTTTCCAAACTTTCTTGTGTTTGTTTTGCAGAAAGTGATGATCTTTATTATTTTGATTATTATTTATTTTATTTGAGATAATTTATGATTTTTTTTTTCAATTTCATTATTATTCAACTTTTTAATTTGTAAGATTTATTCCATATTATTTTAATAAACTTGAGAAAAATAAAATATTAATAAATTTTTTCCAGTTCATTTTCCATAACATAACCAAATACTGGAAAGTGTTTTCCAGTTCATTTTCCATAATACTACCAAACATCGAAAAATACTTTACTTTTCAGGAATTCATTTTCCTCGGAATTCACTTTCCCGGAATTCACTTTCCCTGGAATTCACTTTCCAAAAGAAACAACTTTCCTGCAAACAAACGGGGCCTTAATATAAGATACAAATCTGATATTAAAATACTTAGTTTTCTCTAAATTGTTTTTAAATAATTTTTAAAAATCTCTAAAAAATTAAAAAAAACATAAAAAATTAAAATTAATTTCCCCTTTAAAAAATAAAAAATATTTTTTTATTTTTTTGCATATAATCAAATCCTAAAATATTTTTGAAGAATATTTTCATATAAAAAATTACATCTTTTTTATGTTTTCAAAAAAAAAAGATATCATAACTAGTTTATTATCATCCTATGATTTGACTAAAATATAAAAAACTCTTTTCCAATCATTTTTTTTTTGTCTAGATGTAAACTTTAATATCTGTGAGATGTAAAATTATATGATAAAGTACAACCTCAGATATTAAAGATACAAGGTGTAAATAAATGTGATGCTAAAATTTCGACGGTAGAATGGTTAGGTTTTAATCCGATAAGATAGAGACTCTCTCATGAAAAGAGATCTGTCTTTAAGCTTAGAAAAAACCAATGAATAGAAACTTGACTAAAAAAAATTAAATAACAATGTAGCTTAACTTAGGTAGAGTGCACTAAGGGTGATGCGTCTTTTCTTTGCACAATCAGTTTTTTACCGGATTCTCACATACCATATATTTTCAGTGACTATAATACTAGGTGGCGACTCCTGAATATTAATCATAATTTTATGATTAAATTCAAAAATCTTTCATACCCAACACCTCATCAAGAGGCATGATAAAGCTTTGTCATCGCCGATGATATCGCGACACACCCCGCGACAGATGAGATTAAAAAAATAAACCAATTAAAAAAAACATAAAAAACAACTTGAATCGATCCACCAAACTCATAACTTCGGTCATAAGATTAAGATAACTTTATAAAAAAAATAACTTTATTTTACCTAGGTTAACTTGTCAAATCCACAACTTTGGTTTTGAGATTGAGATACTGTAGAGAGAAAGTCATAACAAATTATAAAATTTAATTTTCGATCGTTCTTGTCAGACCTAATGTTGAATGATGAAAATTGTAAAAATCTTAATTGAAAAAATAAGATGAAAAATAAGTCAACTTAACTCGAGTTAACCGTTAAATACTATTATGGAGTTATGAAACCATGATAACCTAATTGAAAACAAATCAAAACAAATTATAAAGTATAATTTTTAATTAAACACAATATTAATTGGAAAAATTAGGGGGAAAGGTCAATTGAAAAAACAAGAGAAAAAATGAGTCAATTATGTTAACTCGCTACCCGGATTATGAGACAAAGACAACTCAATAAAAAACAAGTATAATATTAAAGAACTTATAACTCAGATAATGAGATCAATATATTATCTTAGAAAGAAAAAAATAATCTAATTTAACAGGCTAAAATGCTAAAATTCATGATTTTGATTTTATGACCAGGATCTTCTCATAAAAAGCAAATTAAAATAGATTATGAAATTTAATTTCTGACTGATCCAATATTAAATAATAAAATTAAATTAAATAATTAAATAAAAAAATACAAAAAACAACATGAGTTAACTCACGTTAATCCATTAAATATTATTTTTATATTATAAGATTAAGATAATCTAATAAAACATAAATAAAATAAATTATAAAATTTAATTCTTAATCAAAGGTTGAAATTGAAAGAAAAAAAAAACATATCAAAATTCCAAGTGATCTGTGAGAAGAATTACAATAAAACCCTTCTTTCTTAGTTTATAGCTGATATAGTATTTATATTTCTTCGATGATTTCACATTAACTAAAAGCAGAGGGAAAAAAGAGCTCCACGTTTTGTTTTGCCTAAAGTAATCATTTTTTCTTTAGGCAAGATCGCTACTTGTCACCAACTCAACGTTCAAGAATGAGAAAGTCCATGCAGAAAGACACGTACGCTTCTCTCAACTCCACACAACCTTGAGCAATCTTCTAATGTTTTACTACTCTTGTGTCTTTCTAGCACTACAAATTTTGTTGACAATGGTGAAACTAGCATCAGCAAGAGAGAGTAGAATGTACGGGCCAGGGCTAGCTAGAAATAGAGGAGAATATATGAACGCAGGGCTCTGTGTGTTTGCAGCTATTGTACTTGTTGGTGGGTTTGTGGCTGAATTGTCAAAGGAACCCAAGTCAGGTCTTGTGCTTTTGCTTATAGGTCTCCTACTTATCATGGTGGTTAATCTTCATGATCTTGTTGCACATCTAGCCGGGATTGATTATCGGTTTCCTTTAATGGGGTTTGATACACAGCTTGCACTTGTTGAGTTTGCGGTTCCTGTGGTTCAGGCCTCGGGGGCTTTGCTTTCTTTCTTGGGTATTCTTTTTCTTTTTATTCAGGTACTAAATATTAATTAATTGTTTTTTAGTAGTGTCATAAAAATTGATATTATCTGAGTTCTGGTACAATTTAGTATAGGAATTGTTATATTTATAATTATAAGATGAAAAAAAAGATTAATTTAATGCCAATTGAAGGTGTATGTAGGATCAATCTATGATTTAATTTATCTTATGCGTCTAATCTCGATTAGAAGTCCCATTATATTTCCTCAAAAACCCAATTAAAAAAGGGTTGCACTAGGTTATGTGCATGTCAAAACTTATTCTTTTGGGCCAGACATTAATTACCCAACGTGAAGATGCCTCTTTTCAGTCTCTTTGAATTCATCTTTTCAGAGAGGAGCATTTTGTAACTTCGTTATGAAATTAAGGTCTATATAGTCCACAGCATTCCACTGTCTCCTCTTAAAATCCTGTATTCTTAGGAGCACAGTTATTAAGTTTTAAGTACATATTGCAAATAATTTGCATGTTGAGGCAATCCACAAATGCAGGAATACAAGGGATATGGGCACTTCAAATTGGAAAGGCATGCTCTAAACTTGCTTATTGCTGGACCGGCTTTGTGGGTGCTCGGATCCATACACAACTCATGCCAGATATATGAGAGAGCTGATGGGCATGTACAAATCTTGCAACAGAGCGTCCACATCCCATTTTTAATGGGAAGTTTGCTATTCTTGGTTGGTTCCATTCTCAATATTCATGAGCAAGCAGGACGGGGCTATCATGGACTGAAGCTATTGGTAAGCTGTAAATTTGTTTAGTTATAGTTTAAGCACTTTGCTCGAGTTTTGGAAATAGCAGTAGTCTAATTGGATAGAAAAAAAGATGGTTTAAACATCACAATCTAAATAGAAAATCTTGGAATCTTTGAGTACTTTTGCATGGTAGCTTTTTAACGTACATCAAAGTTTCTTGATTAATGCAGGGCAAGACTTGGGTCTGGACAGGCATCTGTGGAAGTCTAATGATTTTTATAGGGGGATTAGCAAACGCAGTCAAGGTGTTCAAGATGCAGCAAATTGATGGACTACGGTTAGAGAAATTGAGAGGAGGGGCTCAAGAGCGCATTTTGCTTCTGATTTTTTCATAATAATTGTCACACCTGACATCACGGCGATTTTAAAAATTATCTCGGTTGGAAAAAGAACAGATATTTGACATCTTATTCTTTTAAGGAAAAATATATTGTTTAAAGAGTCGTCACCTAGTATTATGGTCACTAAAAATCCTAACTAGTCAACAGAGATTCTATGATTCGGAATTTGTTACGTAAAAGAAAAGATATTATTACTCCTTAAACGTCCTGCCTGAAACAAACTGCATTGCTAGTTTCATCTTAAATTACTAAATGTTTATTAGTTTGCGCTATGATAATTTGCTTATAATATTTCTGATTCTGGTACCAGTGAATATTTAATTATGAATATTTCTAACTTTGACGTTGGTAAATAAAAACATAACTATAAAAATAAAATAAATCTAAATCAATATTTTTTATTATTAATTTGGAAGAAAAGTATGCTGTCATTTCTACATAACAAATTGAATAAAAAATGATTATTATTAGTCCAGTAGTCAAATGCATTGCGTCTGATCCCGCGCGCGCTCTTCAACCTTAACATTGGTTTTAATTTCTTAAATGGCAAATATTTAACTAAAATTTGAAAAATATTTGATGAGAAAACTAATAAATTCAGTCAACATTATTATTAATGGTGGTTTCATTCCTGAACACCGAATCAAGTGGAATTTTTTGCATATTTTTGCGCGTTGCATGTGAGCATCTCTGTTTCTCTCTGGAATCCTACTTTTTATTTATTTACATGTCTCTGCAGATTTGTATCTCTTTTTTTCAGTTTCTATTTAGTGGTTTTTCAATACATTTTTCTAGCTAGAAAATATATAAATCAATACATTTCTATATTTATATATCCAAGAATAACCTTGACTCCTGCTGGCAAGGGACAACAGATGTATTATATATACAGTTGCATTTAATTCTAACACTTTTGTAAAATTTATTGCAATTACTTTCCATCACAACAAATATAAAAATTACATTAATCTAGAGTTATGACTCAACTAGTAAAATTTTAAATTTATGTTTTGCAGATTATTAGTTCAAATTCTATAAATTATAAAGCTACTGGAAATTTTTATAATTGTTAATTTTAATACTTATAAGAATAATCAAAATATACATATGCTAACTTGAATATTTATACTAATCTAAAATAAATGTAAAATAGATTATATAATGTTTTTTTTCTTTGAGAAAATATATATTTCTTCAAAATGAATGAAAACATTCCTCCCCGGTAAAAATACGGTACATCCACGATAAAAAAAACAAAAATTACCATACATTTGCATTCCTTTTTTTCTTTCAAAAAAGTCTTAACTTATCCCTAAAAAATATTCATTTTTTGCCAATTATTAATAAAAAGAAACATAACCAATTCAATCATTTGTATGAAACAGAAGAGACAACAGGAACATACCTTAAATAAAAATTAATGAAACGAGAGACACAGAGAAAGTTCCAAATAAATATATAAAGACAAAAGGATCGCATCATTCTATTGAAAGAAACCAGTTCAACCATACAAGAAACAAGTTTGAAGATACTGCAGCTAGCAAACTGCGTAGTCCTGACTGTATAGGTTTGCATGCTGCTGCTGTAAAATTTATTCATATCAGAAAATAAAGGAACATAAGCATTACTTCACAAGTTGCATCCTTGATGGAGACCACTCCTCCTGCAATAAATAAACATCAAAATAAATAAAAGGTTTAGAACATAACCAATTCAATCATTTGTAAGAAACAGAAGACAACAGGAACAGACCTTAAATAAAAATGAAACGAGAGAGAGAGTTCCAAATATAAATAAATAAATAAAGACAATAGGATCTAAACATTCTATTACGAGAAATACGATTAAATTTTTCAGTGTAACCATAAAAAAATAAAATCAAGGTACTAGCTTCTTCAAACTGCCAATTCCCATTTTCGCATGGCCAAGCTGCTAAACAAGTCATTCTTAACAGAAAATTAAGAAACATCAAACATTACTTCATCCTTGAAGTCCTTTGATATATATAT